CCTCACCCTGACTCCTCACCCTGACTCCTCACCCCAGAGCTTTTGGTGATAAGTGTGGATGAGCTGTCAACAAAAACACTGATCTTTCCACAGCACAATCTATAACTCATGTTGATATTTACGAGACTGACCTGGACAATATCCTGCTGCGTTCTTCATATGTTTAAATGTCCAGACCCAGCTTTCTGAATATTTTCCGAAGTTCATGTCTGAAAGTAGTTTGTCCAGTGTTTTGTACAGTTTAATCAAATACAGCAGGAAACATCACAACCTCACTCGTCAGCTGAACAATCTGACTCTGAATCTGTCCCCCCACCCCCACCCGCGCTCACTCACACTCAAAGGTGTCATTTATTCTTTCACAAGAGATTATCAGCGCGTTGCCCTGATGTGACCGAACACTCACACTTTACCCATCGTGTCTTTGTACCTGGTGTAGTTCAGAAATTAACATAATCCTTTATTGATCCGCACGGGAGAAGTTCAGATAAAACCGCAGGTCATCAAGTACAAATGTTTGCATTTTTCTTGAAAACAAAAGTTTGGACTCCTCCGCCCTTTCATGCACAGGCCAACACGTGTGTAGTGTTCACGACACAGTGACCTGCAGTCTGTCCTCAGAAGCACGGTTATACATCTCAAAAGATCAGTGGTAATGTCACACGTTTCTGTATTTTCAACTCAAATGTTAAAACTCAGACGACCGATAAGAAAATCAGAGGTTTAAAAGAAGTCTACATGAAATTAAGATTTTACTCTCTTATCTTTCTCACTCGTTGCAGTTTAATTACTTTGAAGTTTTCTTCCTGGTGTCACGTAACCAACAAAAATACAAGTTACCTCATGACTCTTTACATAATTTATCCTATGTGGAATAAATCAAATGACCTCCTTTGAGCTCAGCATGTTTATTTACTACAGACAGTGTTGCCTTTGTGCTCTGAGGTGACGCAACTTTGTAGTAAACGTCAATGGTTGGAGCAAACCTCCGAGACATCGCCAGTATATTTAGTAGATGATAAACTGTTTGTTCTGCTTCTAATATAAAGCAGGACACGTACTGTACATGATCCAGCATCTTAAAAGAAGATCAGACCGTGTTTTATTATGAGCTCATGACTGTATTTCAAGTCTCCAGGAAGCCAAGTAATCAATTAAATAAAGCTTCAGCAGACAGTTCTGTAGATCTGCAGAGTAACTGGTTGTTGTTTCATCGTTCATATGCACATGATGTGGAAAATGTTTGCTAACCCTTACTTCTTATGAACGTCCTGTCAAAAAGTCAGTGTTGAATTAGTTCAGGCTATTTAGTTAAAGCTGGACTTAGATAGAAATACATTTGATCTAATGAATGTCTGTTGTCACTTTTTCCAAAAATCCAGTTAGAACATATTGGACATGTTTTGTAATTCGTTGTCTTTAAATGTCTTGTTTGCTTTCCCCGCTTCCTTTGAATGAATGTTTGAGAGTAAAAAGTTACAGGCATATTGTAATGAGTACACTTGTCTTCACAAACTTGGTAATAATATTTGACATGATGTCCACTCGTTGTTTCAGGACTGATGGCTCCAAAGTGACCTGTCATGGCTTTAATGATCCCCCCGGTGAAACTCAAATGGCTGGAGCACCTGAACAGCTCATGGATTACGGAGGACAGCGAGTCCATAGCCACGCGGGAGGGAGTTTCGGTGCTCTACTCAAAGCTGCTGGCCAACAAAGAGGTGGTGCTGCTGCCCCAGCAGGTGCTCTGCCTGAAGGGCCCCCAGCTTCCAGACTTTGAGCGGGAATCCCTCTCCAGCGATGAGCAGGAGCACTACCTGGACGCTCTGCTCAGCAGCCAATTGGCTCTGGCCAAGATGGTCTGCTCCGACTCGCCCTTTGCCGCTGCGCTGCGCAAACGTGTGCTGGTGCTCCAGCGCATCTTCTACGCACTTTCCAACAAGTACCATGACAAAGGTAAAGTCAAGCAGCAGCAGCACTCTCCGGAGAACAACTCGGGCTCGGCCGATCTGCACTCTGTCAGCGAGCGGCCGCGCTCCAGCACCGATGCTCTCATTGAGATGGGCGTTCGCACGGGCCTCAGCCTTCTGTTTGCTCTCCTGCGCCAGAGCTGGATGATGCCTCCTCCGCCCAGCCCTTGTGGAGGTCACGGGGGCAGCATTAACTTGTGTAATGATGTCATTCACACTGCCATCGACGTGGTGAGCTCCCTGCCCCCCCTGTCTCTGGCCAACGAGAGCAAGATCCCCCCCATGGGCCTGGACTGCCTGGCCCAGGTCACCACCTTTCTGAAGGGGGTGACAATGCCAAACTCCGGAGCGGATATTTTAGGGCGACGCCTCGCCTCAGAGCTCCTCCTCGGCCTGGCCTCGCAGAGGGGCTCCCTGCGCTACCTCCTGGAGTGGATAGAAATGGCCCTGGCAGCATCAGCTGTGGTCAGCACCATGGAGCAGAGCAAGGTGCTCCAGAACCAAGAGGGCCTCATCGGTTATGACTGTTTCATGAACATCCTCATGCAGATGAGACGCTCTTTGGTGAGTAAACATTAACAATACTCACACATGGGACAGTTGACACCTTCTGAGCAGCTCAGAAAGTGTTGTCTTTGGTTGAGCGTTAATAACCATTCAGTCAGTGTGAGGACTTTGTTGAAGCAGTGGTGTCTTTCTGCAGCGCAGTGTCTCCGATGTGAATCTTCAACAGAACTCAGGCTGGAAATAAACACTAATGATATGAAAAATCCTTTGTCAGACTCTCGGATGTTATCTGAGGATGTCAGAGTTTTGTTTCTCTCAAATGCATCATGTGATGTGCGCTGCTGATCTAATTGTGTGTGTGTAATTTTATTTACAAAAGGCTTGATAATGTTAAATGTAAGGTTTAATTGGTTTGAGGTTGTGCATGGTCTTAACTCTGTTTTGTGTATTCGATTGGCTCAGGGTTCCTCAGCAGATCGCAGCCAGTGGCGGGAACCCACGCGGACCTCTGACGGCCTGTGCTCACTGTATGAGGCTGCACTCTGTCTCTTTGAAGAAGTAAGATATCAGAGCAGTATTCTACCGTCAGGACTTTGAATTTCTGGTTTCATAACGTCTTCATTTGAGATTCTTGCGGAAACTTGTCTCACCGGTGTTCAGAAATATTTCAGGATTGCTGTTCAAGTTCATTCTAAAAAAAAAACAAAAACATTCCTTTCCATTGATGGCGGTTTATTTCTCCAGGTATGTCGAATGGCATCAGACTACTCTCGCACTTGTGTCAGTCCAGACAGCATACAGACGGGCGAGGCCCCCGTGGTGTCTGAAACCTGCGAGGTGTATGTGTGGGGCAGTAACAGCAGCCACCAGCTAGTGGAGGGCACACAGGAGAAGATCTTACAACCCAAGTTGGCCACCAGCTTCGCAGATGCACAGACAGTAAGAAGAAGCAGAGCACACGTCTGCTGTAGATGTTGTGTCCGCACATGGGGGTGGAACAAAACATGGCATTTAACTTGTACATATAATAAGAAAAAAAAAAGAAGATATGTCGTTAAGATATAATTTATAATAAACAGCATAAAAAACACATAGAGATTTCTCCCACAGGGAAACTACATCTGTGGCTCGCAGCAGTGTGACATGATGATGTACGATAGACAGAGACAAATGATTTGTGCTCTTCAAGCCGGAGGAGCAAGAACCATCCTGATTCTTATTTCTTGTCTTTTAGGAGAGAGATAATACAAATCTAAAGTTCACAGACCGACTTTTCAACAATTCACTTTTGTCTCAGCTGCATTACTTGTTAGTTTCTTTGTCCTCATCTCTGACATTTCTGTGATTTAATGCATCTTAATGCCCAGATGTGAATGAGCTGTAGGATCTGCACTGTGTTTAGGTCTTCTTCTACGTGTTGGTCATCAAGGACATAAACTCCAACATCATTATGCTGGAAATGTAATTAAAAAATGTCAGTGTAACTCAGTCACTGACTGTCATTTCTCTTCAGATCGAAGCAGGTCAGTACTGCACTTTCGTGATATCCTCCGATGGCTCCGTCCGGGCCTGTGGGAAGGGCAGCTACGGCCGCTTGGGCCTCGGGGACTCTAACAACCAGTCTACGCTCAAGAAGCTGACCTTTGAACCCCACCGCGCAATCAAGAAGGTGTCCTCGTCCAAGGGTTCTGATGGCCACACGCTGGCCTTCACGACGGAGGGTGAGGTGTTCAGCTGGGGTGACGGTGATTATGGCAAACTGGGTCACGGGAACAGCTCAACACAGAAATACCCTAAACTTATCCAGGGGCCACTGCAGGGGAAGGTAGGGTGTCACCAGCATTTGAGCACAACACATTTTATTCACGTGGTTCTCATCCCACCTCCTGATTCTGTTAAAATGTTCTGCATGTTTCTTCTTCTCTTCTCAGAGCTTCTAAAAATGAATTTTCCTGTGCCTCTTGTTTTTTAAAACAAAAAGGAAATTCAATAGACGTCTCATTGCTTGTGTGTTCACTGGCATTAACAAAGAGCGTGGATGTGTGTGGCGTTTGTTTTTCGTCAGGTGGTGGTTTGTGTGTCTGCTGGCTACAGACACAGTGCTGCAGTCAGCGAGGATGGAGAGCTGTACACATGGGGGGAAGGGGATTTTGGACGATTAGGTAAGTTCCTGATCTAAAACAGTCCTAAATTATACCTGTGTACTTTAGTGTTCCCAGTACACTGTTTGTTGTTGGGCTTCAAAACTTCTCCATCTGTGAATTGAACCATCTGTTTTACTTCCCCCCCTCTCACTAAAGTAGGTCGTGTCAGTTCTGATGGTTTAATCTTGAACCTTCCTTGTTCTGAGTGCTTTAGCAGCACAGTTTTGATTTAGATTTCCTACAGTTTGGTCATTTTACTGTGTTTCTCTGTTTGTTGGGACAAACCTTGGTCAGAAAAAGGCCACATTTGCTTGAGCAAGTCTGAACTTCAGGATCAATCTTAATAAAATAAGTAAAAGCAAGAATAAAAACCCCAACATTGTTTCATTGCTTGATTACGCAGGTCACGGTGACAGCAACAGCCGAAACATTCCTACGCTAGTTAAAGACATCAGCAACGTTGGCGAGGTGTCGTGTGGCAGCTCCCACACTATCGCACTGTCAAAGGATGGACGGACCGTGTGGTCGTTCGGAGGAGGAGACAATGGTGCGGAAACGCTTCACTGTGACTCAGTTTGTCCTTAAACATCGATTTTGAATATTTCTTAAAACAAGAACTTTTGTGTTTAAAATGTCCAAATTGAATATGAGACATTAAATATGTTATTTCTATGTTTGTGAAAAAGTAAATCTGCTTGTTGTCCTACAGGAAAACTTGGTCACGGTGATACTAATCGAGTTTACAAACCTAAAGTAGTGGAGGCCCTGCAGGGGATGTTCATCAGGAAAGTGTGCGCAGGAAGTCAGTCCTCACTCGCCTTGACCTCTACTGGACAGGTAGGACATGACTCCTGCACTGATCAGAAGTCAATGTGGTCATCAGTGCCGACATTACAAGGGGAAACCATCTTGTAATGTACATTCACCTTCTCTGTAGGTGTATGCTTGGGGCTGTGGCGCCTGCCTGGGCTGTGGTTCCTCTGAGGCCACAGCGCTCAGACCCAAACTCATCGAGGAGCTGGCGACCACCAGAGTGGTGGATATCTCTATCGGAGACAGCCACTGTCTGGCCCTGTCTCACGGTAATGTCTCTTATCTTGTTCTTACTTCTGTTTGACTTGAAATACGTCTCCGTGTCGATGGTTAACTGTTTTGACCGAAACACTCTTGGATCCACTGCCTCTGTCAGGCTCCGTTTAAATGCTAATTTTCTGAAGCAAGATTTAGTTTTTAATCAAACATGTGACAGGAAGTTGAGTCCTCTGAAGTTTTAGGACTTCTCCAATACACTTGAATATATTGTCCCCTGGTCTGAGCTGCGTTTGTCGTTTTTAATAGTAACATATATATTTTTTTATCTTGTTCAAGCTTCTGAAGCTTCTCCTGGCACTGTTCTTGATGTGGTTGATGTTCAGCTCCGTTAGCTCCCTGGAGACCGTAGCATATGCGTTATCGTTTTGTGTTCCTCGTTGGTCCGTCGGTCTTTCGTCAGGTCCATAATCAGAACTGTGAACTCAGTCGGTTTGTCGCTTCAGGTTTTTAAACATAGTGAGTGAAATAAAATGCAGGAAGTGCTCTGAACAAGCAGAAATGTTCTAATGTGCTGCGATGGGAATAGAAAGAGTTCCTGCAAAGGTTCATAGTTTTAGGGAAAAGTTGTTGAAGTGTCTCATGCTTCACAGTCGTATTTCATCTCTGCTTTAATATCCCAGCCATTTCTAAAATCATGTTGTCTTCTACTCAATCACCATGTAGACAATGAAGTATATGCATGGGGCAACAACTCCATGGGCCAGTGTGGCCAGGGGAACTCAACTGGGCCAATCACTAAGCCCAAAAAGGTCGTCAGCCTGGACGGAGTCGCGATTCAGCAGATCTCAGCTGGCACCTCTCACAGTCTGGCCTGGACAGCGCTGCCCAGGGACAGGTCAGCTACCAGCAGAGCAAACACACACTGACCACAACCTGGATTTTCAGGAAATATTCCCATGTGGGGGGAGGGTGAAGATCCTTGAACTTTTGTACGTAATAGAGGTTGTGTAATACAGGTCAAAGGTCAGTGACTGTTGGTAAACTCTAAAATGAGTCACAGACACACACTTTGTTTTTCTGATGCATCGAGACGCAGACAAGAATGAAGAGAAAGAACTGATCGATTTTATGTTTTCTGCTACGTACAATCACAACCAGCGCTGCTTCAGGATCAGGACAGACGCACATTAAAGTCCAGTTGTCTCTGAGTGTCCTCCTCCACTCTCCACTGACCTGCGCTCACTTTACACTTTCACAATAAACATTTAGTAACTTAGTAATTAGTTAATTTAGTAGTGAACACTAACACTGAACCCCCGTCAGGTCAGAGCCCTTTAACGTTTTCTTGCTGTGACTCTTCAGGCAGGTGGTGGCGTGGCACAGACCATACTGCGTCGACCTTGAAGAAAGCACCTTCTCCCACTTGCGCTCCTTCCTTGAGCGCTACTGTGACGGGATCAACAGTGAAGTTCCTCCGCTTCCCTTCCCCTCGTCCAGGTGAGCTCAGAGCCGCTGACGAAGAAGGAAGTGTTTTGTTCCTTGCTGGTTTATTTGTGGCACTTTCTTGATTTTTAGTTTCTCAGAAAATCTAAATGTGATGGGTACAATCAGAATTATCAAGAGTTGGTTTTATGTATCTCCAGGGAGCATCATACCTTTCTCAAGCTGTGCCTTCGGCTCTTGTCCAATCACCTGGCTCTGGCTCTGGCCGGGGGCGTGGCCACCAGTATCTTAGGTCGGCAGGCCAGGCCCCTGAGGAACCTGCTCTTCAGACTGATGGACTCATCTGTGCCAGATGAGATTCAGGAAGTAAGAGATGATGAAAGCACTTTGTGGGCGTGGGGGGGGTTGTTTGGGGTTAAATTAGGCCCTGCAGACTAATGGAGTTGACTCATGACTTTAATCCATTAAGAATAAAAACACACTCTACAACCTCAGTGTCATTTGAAAACAAGACGTTCATGAGGATGAAGCCACGCCTGCAGTTAGTCGCAGTGGTCAGAAACCTTGGGAAGTAAGGTGGAACAAAAATATAATAATAATAATAATAATAATAATACCAGGATAAGGACTTATCCAGGATACTGAAAGTAAAACAAGCTTCACTTCAGTAACCCGTTGATAACTGGGACACGCGTGTAAACACAGTCAGTTGTGACACTGTCAGGCTCCTGTCGCCTGCAGCACTTTGCTTTTCTACAGTTCAATAGTTTACACACAAAAATTGCAAAGTCATCCCCTGCAGTTGTTTTTTGTGCTGGGATCAATGTTGGATTATACCTGACATCTCCTGTGACTGTGTCTGTTTTCATGATGCCTTGAAAACAGTGTTTTGAGAACAGTAAGTAAGTCAAGAGGTTTTGAATCATGTTTCTTGTGTGTGTCTCTCCCATCAGGCGGTGATAGAGACTCTGTCTGTGGGTGCGACCATGCTGCTGCCTCCACTGAGAGAGAGGATGGAGCTCCTTCACTCGTTGCTGCCTCAGGGCCCGGACAGATGGGAGAGTCTCTCCAAAGGACAGGTGCCTTGTGCTGCTTAATCACACAGAGAGAGCTGCCTTTCTAAAGAGGTTTTGTTTTCTGGATGTATTTGGAATATGGTGATTACGGCCGATCAGCTGTGGTGGAGGGACTTTGAGTTAATATTTATAATCAGTATAAAACATCTCCTTGGTTTGTGAACCTGTAACAAACACACACAACATCCATGTCAGGTCAAAATTAAATGTATTTATCTTCATCAGGTTGTTTCCCTTTTTATATTTAGATGATTATAAGTGGAGACAGATGCTGAACACTAAGTACATTTATAAATTAGAAATATGTTTTTTAATTGAGAAGGTCTCTGTTAACGTGGTCACAGCCTCCAGATTGAGACGCAGTTATATCATTAATATCATCTGTACGGACCAAGTTTAGATTTTTAAGATATGGCCAGTGATGGATCATCACTGCAGATCTTACACTGTGAGTCTGTTTGTTTAAAACATCACTTTGTTTGGTTCTTTGTATGAGCAGAGGAAAAGTGTCTCTGCTATAAAGTTCTGACAAAGACGCCTGGAGCGTCCCTCGTCGTCTGTCTGGCATGAATAGATTTCTGCTGAGCTCACAGAAGAGGCTGCTGCTGACAAAGAACCATTTGAAATGTGAATTCTTCTGAATCTCAGAATAGAATTAGCAGAGAACTTTGAAATTTCGACCTTCTAAAGGAAAGATTTGACATGTTGGGGAATTCTGTCTCATTCGCTTTGCTGCCAGTGCTTAGATAACACGATTGATACCACTGTCATGCCTGTTTGGTTAGAACGTTGGGTTACTTAACGTAATCCCTGGTTCTTTGATAACAGAGTGAGGTGTTTCATGATGGGTCTGTCAGTGACAGACGTTGTGTCATTGGAGCTTCCGTAGTTGGTCACGCCAAGGCGATTCCCACAGTGAAACACCGAACGAAGTTAGAAAAAGAACCAAAGGCTGGAAACACCAACCAATGATAGATGAATTTGTCCCTGACCCATTCCACGTCCTCCAAGCTCCCTGGAATCTGTGCAGTTGTTTTCAGGGTCAGAACATAACCTGAGGTAAAAAGCTCTTAACTTAGAAAAGATAAGTAAATAGTTTGTCAGCTCCTCTGTGTCCCATCTTCTCTTTGACTCATGTCGAACACTTCTCTTCTATCCGGGCATTTTGATGTCCAACCTTAAACTTCTGTGACATTGAGGTAAATCATCGTATCTGTTGCTCATGATGGAAAACAATGACACACACAATGTTGTTGAAGATTGTGAAGTGACCCCAGCTGAGGCCAGCGTCTCTGCCTGGACAAACACGTAGACGTGCACAAAGGCCTGACGTCTGATTACGGAACTAACCTATAGACGTGTGGTGACTGACCCGATGCTGTCCTCAGCATGAACCCACAGAACCAACACGACCTCGAGCAACCCGTGTGGTCTGGTTCTGTTGAAGGTTTTCTGTTCTCCTTGTCTGAAACGTGTGCGTGTGTCTCTGCTGCAGAGGATGCAGCTCGACATCATCCTGACCAGTCTTCAAGACCACACCCACGTGGCCTCGCTCCTGGGTTACAGCTCTCCTGCCGATGGCCCCGAGGTCCTTTCCTCCGGTCCAGGTTTCACAGCCTCCGCAGACCCGGGCTACAGCGCCACCGCGGGCCACCCTGACACCCACCTGGCCGAGATCCTCATGAAGACGCTGCTCAGGAATCTGGGCTTCTACACTGTAAGTAGGGGCTGGACGGTTGGTTCAGCTCTCATTGATTTTAGTTTTGAGTGTGTTAATCAAAAACAAACCATTTTTGGTGGGATGACTGGAGCTGACAAAGACAGAGCGCCATCATCACACCTCTGTCAAGTGCTGGAGGCTGAATATGATGTTTCACAGCAGAGGCTTGTTTCTGTGTCTCATCTTTAAAGATGCCATTTTAATGATTGTAAGACACACACACACACACA